CCCCTCTGGTTAGAGTGGTGGACTTCAACTCCCAGAATTCCCCAGCCCAGATGTCTAGAAGCAACGTTCTATGGAGCCATCTACCTCAGAGTGGTGTTTCCTCTCTCATGTAATTTCTTAATGTAAGAAATTACATGTTAACTGGTGCCAAGGCCTACAATTCCAGAAGCGACGTCTATGGACCCGTCTGTTTCTCAACACATGCGGACTTCAACTCCCAGAATTCCCCAGATGTCTAGAAACAACATTTATGGACCAATTTGGTTAGAGTGGAGTTTCTCCACTTAAGACATGTGGACTTCAACTCCCAGAATTCCCCAGCCCAGATGTCTAGAAGCAATGTCTATGGAGCCATCTGATCAGAGTGGTGTTTCCTTTCTGAAGATGTGTGGATTTCCAGAATTCCCGAGCCGAGACCCAGAGGCCAGCAACATCTATGGAACCATCTGATATAGAACCATGTTTCTCAACTTAAGAGTGATGGACTTCAACTCCCAGAATTCCCCAGCCAACATGGGCTGAAATTGAAGTCCACATGTCTTAAAGTAGCCAATCCTGGATTAAAAACCCCAAACCCATCACATATATCACCAACCCTGATTAGACCTGCATCAAACCTCAGGTGCACACAACCAGGGACAGAAATGCAATCCATGTTGTGTTACCCATGTCGCTAAGAAACCATGAAAACAAACTATTATAGACATCAGGATTTACGCCGTAATATGTCAGTTTATCATCTCAGTCTACTGGAGCTTAGCTGGGGAAATTTCCAGAAATTATTCATGATTGTGCTGGGGAAAACCATCAGCTGTGACTCTACAATTACAAGCAGTGTGCTCTAGTTAAGCATGAACCCAGAGGAAACTTTGAGAAGAGGTTAATTTTCCCAGAGATGTGACTTTCTTCAGTTAAATCATACACACAGACTAGTCCAGGGGTCTTCAAACCTTGGCAAGTATAAGACTTGTGGACTTCAACTCCCAGAATTCCTGAGCTAACATGACTGGTGGAGGAATTCTGGGAGTTGAAGTCCACAAGTCTTCAAGCTGTCAAGTTTGAAGGCCCCTGGGCTAGAGAAATAACTGGTTGACAAGCTGGCTTATAACATTTAACTTACTTGTGGGTCAAGTTCTCCGCGTCGCTTATAGATGGATTTTTCCCCGGTCAGACTATCGATTATCTTGGCATCATCCAATTCTCCCACTGTTTGATGTCTTAACCACTGCCTTTCCTTCCCTTTGGCCTGCAGAGGAAGAAAATATCATAATCACTTTTAAACCTGCCTTCTAATTTTTGTAAATGGTGTATTTTCACAGAATGGGTGTCATGCGCTTGTTAGAGTCAGACTCTGAGGGAGAGGAGGAACGGCCGACAGGGAGTGGAGGTGTGGCTCTGGAGGTTGTGGAGGAGGCTGGGGAAGGGCAGAGGCCGGCTGGGCAGTCAGAGGAAGAACCAGGCCCATCCCCTCTTCATCCTAGGACATGCAGGGAGGAACGGAGAAGGAAACAACCTGGCTTATGAGAGAGGAAGTGGCCATGATCCCCCTCATTGGTTGCAGCTGGGGAGAATAGTATATAAGAGAGACGATTACCACACAGCGTTGCCAGAAGCAAAGCGTGTTTTATCTTGGGCTGAAGTTATCTTGGTTGGCGTCCTTCCAACAGACTGTGCCTTGCTATCTTCTTGCAGTTGGTAATTACTTATCTTGGTCCGTTGTGGAATTTCCTTCATTGTTTGTTTGGTGTTTTTTTTATTTCACCTCTACCTGCTCATTAAGTTCGGACTGTATGGCCTACTTTTGAAGACTATTTTTGAATAAGTTTTATCCCCAGCTGAGAATTATTGAACGGTGGGGCCAAGTTGGAGGCACTAAAAGACAATTATTTACATTTTGGATTTTGTTACGTTTGTGTACACTCCAGGTCATCACAATGGGCTAATGGAACTTGTCTTCCAACTTCTACAATCAGCCTTGGCTCAAGTGCTCGAAGCAAAGGCGTGAACAGACAGGTCTGTCTATCAAAGGTCTACGTTGATGAAGTACGTTCTTTTTCTGTCTCCAGAATCTTGCCTGGGAACAGGACCGGGCAATGCTGGAATTGAATCAAAGACTGATTTTTGACAACCGGTGTAATTCCAACACACTGACGAATGAATCAATAAACCTCATTTCAACAAACAAAAACCTTCGCTAAGTAAATTCACAAGGAGTGACATACATGGAACGGGAGCATGGAACAATCCATGTAATGTGCAGTAGTCTTTGACCTTCGAAACCCCGGTGAATTGTGGCTGAAAGACATACGAAGTGAAGCAAATAATTACGGGAGGTTAAAGGCATTTCAGGTTCACACAAAGTACACTGAATTGCTCTCCATTATGATAATGGAGAATAAAAAAATTGGGATTTACTATTCAGTCTTTCAATCACTCTCTCTCTCTCCCTTTCTCTTTCTCTCTGTCCCCCCTTTCTCATCTCTTTCTCTCTCTCTCATCTTTTTCCTTTCTTCCTCTTTCCCCCTCTCTCTCACCTCTCTCATCTCTTTCTCCTTCCCTCTCATCTCTCTCATCTCTTTCTCCCTTTTTCTCTCTCTTATCTTTCTCTCATCTTTCTCCCTCTCTTTCTTCCTTCCGCC